GTTTTGTTTGTTTATGTTTCCGCTTGCGTTATAAGTTCTATTTTGCATGACAAGGTGACATTTTCGTTTATCACTCTTTCTTATAACCTGCTATATCGTGCAATCCTTTTTATTATTATTTTTCATTGAAATTTTTTGATCAGGTGTTCTTAGCATTGGAAGATTCATTCTATCTGTGGAAGTCAGATCAAATTTTTAAATTAGTTACCAAACTATTTACATACATTATTCTTTCCCAAGGTGAGTGTTGTTATGAGGTCAATTGCCATCGTTTTCTTCTAGAAATTGTCACCGCTGTTTTTAACGGACCAGTGCTTCAACGAACGAAGGATTGAGTTCGAAGGATTCGTCCATTATTTGTACAAACTCAAAGGAGCAGAGCAGAGCACTAAATAAAACACCTTTTAGAATAACATATGAACAAAAAAGAAGCAGTTAGTCATATTCCGGCTTTAAAAAGAGTTTAGTAAAAGCAAGATGAATGAAGAACTACCGGGACCAACTCTACGTACGCATCCGTACGTATTAGAGAGATAACGGTTCAGAGGTAATTGACTGAAAATTTTAAACAGGAAAGGGGAAAAAGAAAATTTTAACAATACTTTTGTTCCCTACCGCTCCGTCCATGGTATAGTGAGATGCTATTTTAATTTATCGGACTCGGGTTCAGAAATTGCGTAACACTTGTAGCAATTGACAAAGATGTTTTGGAAAATTCGAGTATTTTTTTTTATTAACTGCTTGTTGACTGTTCCTCTTGGTTCCTGAGGGCATCATAAAGTTTCTATAAAAAAATCAATTTACTAAGGGAACGCGGCCACTTAGATATGTAAATTGTGACTGTTATTGAAACTACCAATCAACATCTAAAAGGTAAACCTGACTTCGTCAGTTACACCTGTCGACATATTATTGCTATGTTTTTCTTTAGCGAAATAATAAAAGTATATTGTGAGCAGTTTAAACTCTAAGACTTTTGACATGTTTTGATTTGAGTTATATGTTAAATTCCCACCACTGGCCAACGTTCGCTAAATAACAGAGAGTGCTTTACAAAAAGCAGAAAAAGCGAATTGTAGAAAGAGTTTCAACGAACGTTCACCAATGACCATAAACCTATCTTCCGCTGTCCATGCCTCTTGTTAAATTTTATTCCATTAACGTGAATTTTCCAGATAAACAAATCGTTTAGACCTTCATTATTGGAATAGTGGAAGTTGAATGAATTGATGTGGACACATTAATTTCTCTGACCACTGTTCTGCAGATGACGGTTAATCCCAAAACATCCGGACGATCTAGCCTTAAATCTTTGGGAATTTAAAATAATTAAAATTTATTATTCTATACTCGAAATATAATTTCACACAGCCAATCCTTTTAACTAAAACTTTTGCCGGCTTTTCAAAGAGCAGTTTGATTCTCAGCAGTGAAGATAAAATATCTTAATGAACATGGAATATTAATCGTATACCTTTCAATGTATTTCCTGTCAATCTAAGACGAGAGAAATAAGGTTGGACGCCAACTGCTTTGACTTCCTATCACCAATTTACATCAATGCTGTATTCCTTATGAAGCAACAATAAAAGCTCTTTCGTGATACATATCGCTAATGGCGTTAGCTGTGCCAGCAGGCAATATCCATATATTATTACACCCACCTTACAGGCCGAAAAAAGGTCTGACCTTTTCTTTTTGCAAAGTCCCTATTATCTGGCGACTTTTATAAAGCGGCCAACCGCTACACGAGGAGGGCATTAGCGTTTGCGGTATTGCGGTTTCGGGCCATTTATCATACGGGATTTCAGTGATTTCAATATATCCAAATTTATGAAGCAATTTCTTTATAAATGACTGATCCTCTAATGCGGTCTCTCAAAAGCCATAGATAATAAATGATAAATGATAAATGATACAAAATAAAGAAAAACTCCTCTTTCGGTGAATGAATAATTGAGAATCAGAATGCAATTTAGAATTCAGAGCACGAGCGATGTAAAAACAATTGTTACAGTTCAGTTGCAGCAATAATTCTTGGTTGAACAAAGAATTGAACATAAATAAACCACACTTAGACAGGTCTTGTTATCCTGTAACGTTACTCATATCGATATTTATAATATCTAATTGCATACGATTGGTGGCCGGATTAATGGCGGTCGAATGTATCAGTATGATTTCACTGATATCCATTGATCAATGAAATGAAATCACAATATGTTCATAAAAGGCTCTTTATAGTTCAGACGAAGAAACGACGCCGAAAAATTTCATCACTTTTTCTGTCTTCTAGAAGCACGTGATGGAGGAAACGCGCATCGTGAATCAGTTCCTCGGACGATTGCCGAAAGATTTTCGCGAAAGCTTCTCCGTCTGCAGCACGAGACCCGAAACGAATTGTCCGCACGACCTGGGAACTAGGCAAAGAGTTTATAATGATTGTATGCTGCCGATACCCAATCAGCATCGATACACTTTATAAATTGCCATGTTAGAAGGTTCGTGTCCGATATGCTTAATGTGAGCACCGTAAAAGCTCTATTAAGCCCCCGGGGGGCTTATTTAATTTCAGGCCCAAGAAGGGGGGGGGAGGGGGCTTATTAGAGAGGGGAGGGGGGCTTAATAGAGAGGGGGGGGGGGCTTATTTCAAATCATAAATTTTCGAAAAAATTCCCATTAAGTTTTCAAACTTTACTATTACACCATTAACTAAAACAGAACAAGAAATGGGTTATGTATGACCGTCTCATGAATGCAGTGTCGTTTACACCCTAACTCAATGATAGTTCTGGAAGTTAAAGACCACGTTTCAATATATAAAGTGACTAAAACGCCAGAAAATAGTAGTGAAACGTCATTTACATCAGCCTGACGGAAAGGGGGGGGGGGCTTATTACAAAATTTGACTCCCAAAGGGGGGGCTTATTAGAGAGGGGGGCTTAATAGAGAAGGGGGACTAAATAGAGCTTTTACGGTATCTGCTATTGTTTTAGGGCAATACCTGAGCATTAATTTTAGGACATAAATTGACAACCAAAAATGCAGGTAACTAAGGAAGGAGATATTAAATGAATAAGTGATCATCGCAGTTATAAATGCAATTTTTGCAATTGCAATATAAGCCAGAAAAAAATTCTGGCTTCAACGGGATTCATGGCAAAGAATGAGGGACACGCACGCGCGGGCTCTGGTAACTAGATTGTAAAAAACGTTAAAAAAACATGTCGGACTGAATAGAGAAGCTTGTATGAAATTAAATAAATATTTTGACTTACCACTTTATGTTCCCTTCTTTTTCACATGTATCAATCGGATTCTGGAATTTGACACCGTTTTCTGACACAAAAATCACCATTTTTGAAGGCTTATTCTCCACGGTAAATGCGTTTGAAGTAATGGATCTTTTCCTGACTACCAACAGTATGAAAGAATAGCAAATTATTCCGGTCAAATCACTGAAATCATCTTCGCAAAATGGATCGCAGTAATCCACAGCGCTTGAAAATTCACCCTTATCAATGGAAAGTATACAAGCTTACTAGTAAACAATGTCCTCCACGTTGATTAAAACGATTTTCCATGAAATGTTGGATCCACCACGGTAAATTGCTTTGAAGTTTGGCTTTTTTCCAGTTCCATGTCCTAAGAACAAGCGTGGAGAAAGGCGTTTTTGCCACCTTAAGTGTAAGTCTTTTCTCTCACATCTGTAGGTGTCGTAAAAAACATTCGCCATATTGATCTCATTTCACTTGGTAACCTCCCTTCTTCTCCCCAGGACTTTTTTGAATAAAGTTTTCAGAGTAAGACTGAGAATGAAAGGAAAATTCTGCGGGAAATACAAAATACATAATTTCGGGATAGTCCGTACGATCGAGTTATTACGGAGTTCATGTAGTCATTTTCACTATAAATAACAAATTGTAACAGTCAAATTATATTGTAAACGACAGACGAAAAATAATTAGTATAGGAAATCGTACGACTTCGAGTACGAGAAGGTCGTGCGATTTTTTATTTATAGTACATTCAACAAAATGGGAAAAAAATTGTTGTAACAGTTGCAGACCGCGTGTCGCACTAAACATTTTAGTGTGATAAAGACATCGGGTGGTCTTCGGCAATCTTCGGGAGATAATCGGAAATATTTGCTGACCTTCCGATCACGTTCGAAAATCTTCGGAGGACTTTGGGTGACTTTCGGAAATCTTCGGAAATCTTCGGGTCATCTTCGGAAATCTTCGGAAGGGTTCGGGTTATCTTCGGGAATATTCGGGTCATCTTCGGAAATCTTCGGAAGGGTTCGGTCATCTTCGGAAATATCCGGAAGGGTTCGGGTCATCTTCGGAAATCGTCGGATGCCTTTGGGTGAATTTTGCACTCTTCGGAAAACCTCGGACGATCTTCGGAAATCATCGTTACCATAGAGAGCTAATACTCCAGAGTACAATTTGGGATTAATCAAAACTATAACAAAATTCTCGAATCTGATTGGTTATCAGCAGGCGCGATTTGAGCACTAATAGGACAGTGTACGCGTCATGCTTGTAATTGGACGATGTAATAGGACAGTTTACACGTCATGCTTGTAATTGGACAGTGTAATTGGACAGTACGCGTCATTTGCGCGCGCTGTCCTTTGCTCGTGCATGCATCTCGGTCAAAAACAAACTTGATTATTATGTTTTTATTCACGTTTAACGTCTTTTCCTCAAATTTTGTTATAGTTATGATTACTTGGTAACAGGACTTCGTGTCGTCCAATTCTGTCTGTAATCATACTCGTGATTAACAAATCGGACTCCCGCGAAGCGCGGTCGTCCGATTTTGTTAATCACTTGTATGATTACAGACCGAATTGGACTCCACTCAGTCCTATTACCATTATGAATAGCTTGCCGGCCTGAGAGAATGCACGCTTTTGGCCGCCATAGTACTCATAGTCGCCGCGCGCCATATTGGTTCTTTGTTATTATGGAGGAAGCCGCGTACCGCTGCGCGGGCTCAAATATCCCTCATTCTTTGCCATGTGAACCCATGACCTCCGCGTTACTAGTGCGATGCTCTACCAACTGAGCTATGAAGCCACACATTGGGAGCAGGAGATACAGGAGAAGGCAATACTATTAATCACAAAGGCTATTCAGTCATGATATTTATTTCTCGTATAATTTTGTTCGTCCAACGTCTGTTTAGCACTGAGACAACAACAATATTCTTTACAGCTCGACCTTATTACACGAATTCGCAAACTGGGCATCAACGACAAGTTTGATCCCAACCGTTTCGACAAAGTTTGCGTACTTTTTAATAATCGGCGAGTTGCAGTTCTGTTCACTGGCTGTTTTACTGTAGCATGTAAACCACTCGACTGAGTCTCCACAAATGCGCTCGTTTTCCTTCATCGAATCCAGAAATAGTTCACTGCATTTGTGGTGAACTTGCATAGCACACGAGCTGAACGGATCTCCTAAAACCAAATAAAAAGAATATCATAACAACTACTTTCCTGAGTTATTGAATCTGTTTAGCTGTGGTTTATATTAAGAGCTTTATCAATTTTACTGTCCAATTTGCATTTCATTAAAAAAAATGTGAAACCTAAAAATTTCCCATTTTTATTCCTTCTTTTATACTATACGGTATCTTAGACGTGCATAAAATCCAAGACATGCAACATTTTGTATCAGGATGGCAACTCTAAAGATAGCAAATTTGTCGCAGATCACTCATCATTATTTGAGTGAATATAAAAGTGGACACTCAAAGACAATTCAGTATAACAACAACAATAACAATCATTTATTTAAACAGGGAGTGGTATGTCCGCCCGTCAGACTGTGCAATGCGCTGTATTTGAGAAATAAACAAACAGACAACTGAACAGAGGAAATAAGAAAAGTGGAAAATCGTATTTCTTCCCGTCTCAGGTGAGGGTTAGGAATGAAATACATTATCACGATCGCAGTGATTGTCAAAGACTGTTAACTTAAATCTCCGCGCCAGAAGACTGTTAATCCATTTGTCCATTAATTCTAACTTACGACACTATTGTCAATTTCTTACCATAGTTTTCTACCAGTGAGTATTCCTTGGCAACATCTGTATAGAAAATTTGATTGAATATTAGGAGCCTGATATGATAACGAATTTATGCCTAAAACTGATGTTCTTTAGCATTGCCTGGACACGCGTACAATGTCTACACTTATATCCAGTGATGAAACTCTAGTCAGTAGTTGTCCGTCCTACATCTGGTTAGAGTTGTTGGTAGGACACCAGTTGCAGAGAAAGAGGAAATGGATTCGAATCCCCACCAGACTAAACAGTTACTCAAGGGCCTTGAACTAATTAATGGAGAGGTTGAAATATTTTGATTGTGGACTCTTTTGCTGTGAATTTGTCTAACGTATCGAAACCAAGCTAAAACGAGGCAAAACGGGCATCATAAACGACTTTGGGTAATTTTCCTTAAGAATGAAGGTGCTGCCTTTTCTATTACACCTGCAAATGGTTGGGTCTCCAATTTGGGGACGTCAATCATTCAAAAGTGGTTACTGCGCGAATGACACTGTCACCCAATAGTCAAATAAAAGTTGTCCAATAGCTGGAGTTTCGAAATACTGGAAAGCAAACACTGTAAAACGTACGCACATCCAGGCTTTTTATTCCCCACAATAAACGTCCGGCAATATGACCGCTGCACTACTGACGTGGAAGACATACAAACAAAATGATGCCAACATGAGCTAGTATAGCAATTGGGCAACTGGTCATAACGCGTTCTAAGTTATAATAATTTCAAAATAATAACAATATTTCCCATTTTACCTGTATTTTCAACAGAATCCTTCAGGCTTTTAAAGTCCACTCGTGGGCAGAATTTAAGCTTGGCTTCTAGCATTGCTTCTTGCAAAATCCAGAGGCGAAAACGGTTTATTGATTCTCCTTCGCAAGAAGGATCACCAGCAAAACATGATACAACTTCCTGTGATTCAATGAGAAATTCTCAATAAGTTCCCAAGAGACAGAAATTAGTTTCATATTTACCACACTTGTAAATGAAACGTCATGTGATTTTATTGTATTTTAAATTTCTATTAGCTTGTTCCAGGCGTTCGGATAGTGGAGGAAAGACGCGAAAAGACGCGCGAAGCGCGAGGGGAGGGCGAATTCGCCCCCTCTCCCCAATCCCCACGCCTATTATTCACTCACCACTCTTCGTGTCGCTCCCCCACTATCCGAACGCCTGGAACAGGCTAAATTTCTATCAACATGCAAAAAAATCTTAACTAATTCTCAGCCTTGGGTATATTCTTAGCATATTCTTAAAATGTCGCCAATCTCGGCCTCAATATTCTTATAAAAAAGATTCTTACAACAACAAAAAAGCCGGAGTACCTGCAACCGTGAGCAATGCTGTTCGTGATGTGGGTTGTTTTTGAGAAGTGCTCTGTAGCGAGAAATGCATTTGTGAAGCAATTTATTTTCGCAGTTCTTCGCTCCTTCGGAAGAAAACAAGATGGACGAGACAACAACCAGTAAAAGCACACCAGTTGACCTCGCTAAATTCATGATGGCTCTCTTGGTTAACTGTGAAAAAAGAACAAATTAATTAAAGTATTCTATTCGCGCTTGTTAAATAAATAATCAATTTAATAATCGGTATCTCATATTCAACAAGCGCGAATGGAATAATTGTTTTATTAAAGTACCCCTACGATCAAATTGTTGATATTCATTTTTTTACATTTTCGTGTACAATATGACTTTCTTATATATCTTGCCAAATTTCAATCCATTACGAATATTAAAAGTCATTTTTTTTTTGGACTTTTATTTCCAAGAATTTACGGCCGCATTACTTAACATTGTTACAAGGCTTGGCTGCGAATTGGAGAAAATGACGTCAGATACTCAAAAAAATACCTCACGGGTTGAAATTATGATAACAATAAGTATAGAAAATTGCATGAAGAACAACAAAAACTTTGGACTTTTTCTTCGTGCAATTTTCTATACCCCTACCCTAAAGGATTCTAAATGCACTGTATCGCCAGAAAAGGAACGAATCGAAATTGGCGGCTGAATATGTAATCATGTGTTTGCTTTTCAAAGCAAAAGATGCTGTTTTCTCAACCAATGAGAAGCAACGCTTACTCAGAGCGCTTGGCACCATTTGATTGCCAACCGCAAAGATCCAAGTTGGTTAATTATTTGTGGATCCAAGTTGGTTAACTTAGCTTTGTGTTCTTTGTGTTAGTTATGATAACCCAGGTGTGATTATTATTGGTTTTACGACAATCAAAGAAAGCGCTCTATCACAACACAAACGTTCATAACAGTTGATCAGCATCTTAATTGTGCCGCAAGTCAATCTTGTAGGTCATGACAATAAAATAATTAAATACCACAGGAAAAGTGATCATCTAATTCTCCTAAGGAGTTATATTAGAAATCTGCGAAGACCAGCAAGGAAAATGTGCATTTTGATAACAATATATTTATACAGCAGCCTTTCTTTCTTTCGTAATATGCAATTGAGTTTTATAACAAATCAAGACACTGCAAGAGTTTTGATTGGGTGAAACCGCTAATGAATCGAAAGAGATATTTTTTGCGAGAAAATGGGACATTTTCTGTTTTCTTATTTCCACATCTGTAGTTATAACCTGAAAACCACTGGTGAAACAAACTTTTCTTGTTCTCTCGAACATCCACTCGAGTTCCCACGGAAAATGCTGCTATTTCTTAAAGTTAGCTTGCTTTAACAAATCCTATTGTGTATAAATAAAGTGTCTATCTATCGTACACTGTTATCCAGGCCGGAACATTTGCATCACACCGTACAGCGCTTTCTAAATTGGACATTTTTATTAAAATATTTTTATATTTGCTTGCAAATTAATATTTTCATTTCGCTATTAGTTTCTATTAATTATGATTCTTTGTTTAGCTTGTGTCCGTTGTACACTCTCCTTCCTGTGTGCATGTAATATAATAAAGCATTTGAAATCAAACAATTTAAAGAAAGGAACTATTAATCGCAGATGCATGTATTCTTTCCAAAGAATAAAAAGAAAAAGGGGTGACATCTAAATGCCACGCAGTCCTACAACACAGTTTTAATGTTATGGCAACGCCGCGTGAAATTAAAACGAATCATGTATTTTGCAAGGAGAAAAATTCAGAAATAACCAAACAATAATTATAAAATAATCATCCGACACATACAATTTTAATTTTTTTTTATCTCATGGTGAGGCGAGGTTTTCAGTTTCATCCTGTCCTTTTCTGTTACTTCCAGCTGTTTCAACTATATTATATTCTCCGACTCATACATATGCATTTTGTTGTTGTTTTTTCGAAGGGGTTTCTCTTTCCTTAGGAGGCCCAATTCTATACGTCGCATTTCAGTCACGTCGAATTAATTCAAGCCGAAGAAATCTTGCTGGTACTTGATTCGAGTACATTGCAATACACCATGGATGCAACGTTTTCTACTTTGCTATTTGTGTGGGCATTGGGCTGATTTATTTTAGATTTAGGTGTCCCAATTAGTAGAGGTTCCACCCTTCGGCTATGTATTTCCGACACTATAATAAAGTCATTATTATTAAAGCGCTTCGGACTTGAATTGCGACGTATACATTGGGCCTTATATACATTTACAACGACCTGAAAGTTAAAACTTTGTAGCAACAACAAATTCATAATATGCCGTAGGCCCACTATATGTAGTCTCGCAGTTGTTGAAGTACGGCCGGTAAATCCACAATGTAATAGGAAAATAACCTAGATTGTCTCCATTGGTTCTGTAAAATGCATTTCGAGTCGCCTTTGGATTAGTATTGGTAGGTGCAGGTTTTTCTGTTTTCCTGCAACACAGTTTTATCGGATTCTTCAGCTGAGATTAAATTGGCAGAAATTTATATAGGCGGAACGGCCTTTCAGTCAGTATCATACCCAAAATTATACATTTTTATCTCTCCAAAAACAACAGGCATTAATTTTCCCATATTATTATGATTATTAGTTCGAGGTGATATTTCACTAAATAAAGAAAACTCCAGTTTCTCATCACACT